AATGTCTGTCAGTGACGTTGGTTATGTAGGTGATGTCTAATGTCTGTCAGTGACGTTGGTTATGTAGGTGATGTCTAATGTCTGTCAGTGACGTTGGTTATGTAGGTGACGTCTAATGTCTGTCAGTGACGTTGGTTATGTAGGTGATGTCTAATGTCTGTCAGTGACGTTGGTTATGTAGGTGATGTCTAATGTCTGTCAGTGACGTCGGTTATGTAGGTGACGTCTAATGTCTGTCAGTGACATCGGTTATGTAGGTGATGTCTAATGTCTGTCAGTGACATCGGTTATGTAGGTGATGTCTAATGTCTGTCAGTGACGTCGGTTATGTAGGTGATGTCTAATGTCTGTCAGTGACGTTGGTTATGTAGGTGACGTCTAATGTCTGTCAGTGACGTTGGTTATGTAGGTGATGTCTAATGTCTGTCAGTGACGTTGGTTATGTAGGTGATGTCTAATGTCTGTCAGTGACGTTGGTTATGTACGTGATGTCTAATGTCTGTCAGTGACGTTGGTTATGTAGGTGATGTCTAATGTCTGTCAGTGACGTTGGTTATGTTGGTGATGTCTAATGTCTGTCAGTGACGTTGGTTATATAGGTGATGTCTAATGTCTGTCAGTGACGTTGGTTATGTACGTGGTGTCTAATGTCTGTCAGTGACGTCGGTTATGTAGGTGACGTCTAATGTCTGTCAGTGACATCGGTTATGTTGGTGATGTCTAATGTCTGTCAGTGACGTTGGTTATGTAGGTGATGTCTAATGTCTGTCAGTGACGTCGGTTATGTAGGTGACGTCTAATGTCTGTCAGTGACATCGGTTATGTAGGTGATGTCTAATGTCTGTCAGTGACGTTGGTTATGTAGGTGATGTCTAATGTCTGTCAGTGACGTTGGTTATGTAGGTGATGTCTAATGTCTGTCAGTGACATCGGGTATGTAGGTGATGTCTAATGTCTGTCAGTGACGTCGGTTATGTAGGTGATGTCTAATGTCTGTCAGTGACGTTGGTTATGTAGGTGACGTCTAATGTCTGTCAGTGACGTTGGTTATGTACGTGATGTCTAATGTCTGTCAGTGACGTTGGTTATGTAGGTGATGTCTAATGTCTGTCAGTGATGTCGTTTATGTAGGTGATGTCTAATGTCTGTCAGTGACGTTGGTTATGTAGGTGACATCTAATGTCTGTCTTTGACGTTGGTTATGTAGGTGATGTCTAATGTCTGTCAGTGACGTTGGTTATGTAGGTGACGTCTAATGTCTGTCAGTGACGTTGGTTATGTAGGTGATGTCTAATATCTGTCAGTGACATCGGTTATGTAGGTGATGTCTAATGTCTGTCAATGACGTTGGTTATGTAGGTGACGTCTAATGTCTGTCAGTGACGTTGGTTATGGAGGTGATGTCTAATGTCTGTCAGTGACATCGGTTATGTAGGTGATGTCTAATGTCTGTCAGTGACGTTGGTTATGTAGGTGATGTCTAATGTCTGTCAGTGACGTCGGCTATGTAGGTGATGTCTAATGTCTGTCAGTGACGTTGGTTATGTACGTGATGTCTAATGTCTGTCAGTGACGTCGGTTATGTAGGTGACGTCTAATGTCTGTCAGTGACATCGGTTATGTAGGTGATGTGTAATGTCTGTCAGTGACATTGGTTATGTTGGTGATGTCTAATGTCTGTCAGTGACGTTGGTTATGTAGGTGATGTCTAATGTCTGTCAGTGACATCGGTTATGTAGGTGATGTTATAGATGAATCCTGGGGGAGCATATGCGAGGAGAGCCAACAGATAGGCAGCTTTCAACCCCTCCACTTCCTCTACTTCCTCCCCTTCCACACACCGGGCCATTATGCTCTCCCCCCTCGAGTACATACACAACAGGCCATTGTTCATCTGACTGAAATGGAGAACGAATATGTGTCAGGAACCTGCACTGAAGAACAACTTGTGATCGGCATGTTTGTCTTTTCTTAAAGTATTTCAATCATTCATACATACAGTATTTTTCTTTAATATCATATACTGTTCGATAAAATACCGTTTACTTGTAGCAAGGATTTGCATAGAATTTTATGAATATTTGTCTCGTATATTAAGAAAACACTTGTATAAGGATTACAGCTTAACGATCAGCAAGGAAATTGGATCTTTTATCATACTAGATGAAACCAACCTGCATATTATTGTCGTATACAAAATAACTAACATAATGTAAAAAGGAACGGCTGTCTTCCTGCTGAATTTGTGTCTGGTTATACAGTCTTGTCCCGATCCACCACCGTTTGAACAAAACGGGATAGAAAACGACGTCACGGGTGCGTCGCATTCTCCTAGTATTGGAAGCAGACGACACTATTTGCTAGATATTTGGACCCAGAATTGCTTCCACGAACCAAACGTATGGATGCAGAAACCTCATCTGTGACAGCAAACATTGCATCGGGTTCACTTTCAGACGTTGTGGTAAACTTGGCAACGGCATCGGAACTGGTGGGTTAGTGTAGATCTAGTGGTTTAATTATTCACTCGTCACAATGAAGGCTCGGGATCAATCCCCCGAAATATAAAAGGCGGTCTCCTCTGTGATAATATAGTTTAATGATTCTGTTCACTTACATACACCGCTTATCCAGATGCTCGCTGGTGTCTGTTTGGGTTCATTCACGACCATCGGATCCGTATGCATTTATCTAATCATTCTAAAAAACCTCTCTGGGAAGTTTATAATCCAGACTTCTAAACGGCGTTAATGTCTATTTCATGCACCCATTCCCTGCTACTTTGGACAAGGTCACTTGCCTCAGGCGACGCCACAAGTTTGACACTTCACTTGTCTTTCGGGTATAAGGTCTTATTCGTGTTATGAGCGAATTCTTTTAGAAATCTTACTCAAAGAAAACCGAAATCTCTTTTCAATCTACTATCGGATTGTTTCAAAAAATACCTACGTCTGGTGATGCTGAAAAATGTCAGCCTCCGTCATGGAACGGTTGTAGCCAAAGGCTGCTCTCCACGCTATCAGTTCCACACAGGCCCCAATGGCTGCAGCCACTCTTCCCCACATACAGGTAGCGTTCACACTGGGAGGGATCGACGTCAGAACTAGCAGAGAGGGATATAGACTTTACGAAGCACCAAGAGAAGATGATGATGAAGAAGAAGTTGATGATGATGATGGTGGCAGCGACGAATTCAACGACGACAAGCACCAAGAGAGAGAAAGAGAGTGGTGGTTGATGTTGTTGTTGTTCATGATGATGATGAAGAAGGTGAGGTGAGGTGAAATGGGGTTTAACGTCGTGCTTGAGATATTTTGCTCATATGACGACGTGCATGCGTGTGTATGTGCGGCTGCTTGTACCAGCCCAGACTGAAGCTGGTTTTATAGTGCTAGCCCACTGAGATACCATGCCGCAGTGAAGCATGAATACCCCACTCAGACACATTATACTGACTCCGAGCCGACCAGTCCTTGTCGTACCCATTAATGCCGTGCGCCAGGCAAGGACCAACAAGTACCATATTTTAACGTCTTTTTGGTATGACGCGGTCGGGGATCGAACCCGCGACCTTCCGCTCTCCGGGCGGACGCTCTAACCACTACACCACGGAGGCGGTCTGATGATGAAGAAGAAGAAGATGATGATGATGGTGGTGGTGACAACGACAACGACGATGATGATAAAACATTTTAGCATGATTATCCCTGAACCTACGCTGCTGAGCATACTGGGAGGGGTGGTCGTCGGTACAGATGCCGTTGACAGCAGCATAGCTGATGAGGGTGTCTCGGTTGTCACAGGCCGACGTCCACTGGGATGCACACAGAAGTCGCTCCTCGGTCACCTCACTGGAAGAAAACATCCCAATAACTGTTAGATTTAAAAACGCGTGAGTAGGTGGTGTCTTCTGGCCATATTGTGTTTTACGATCCCTTACTTTAGGTATTAGCTGCCGCCATGAGGTACACTGGCACACACACGCATATGCTGATGATAATATCTATCCGTATATGTCACTTTAACAGTGTGCACTAAATGGTGAATGTTTATAGAAATAACGGGGCGGAGGGGTAGACTAGTGGTTAAAGCGTTCGCTCGTCACGCCGTAGACCCGGGTTTGATTCCCAATATGGGTACAATGTGTGAGGCCCATTTCTTGTGATCCCGCCGTGATATTGCTGGAATATTGCTAAAAGTGGCGTAAAACTTAACTCACTCACTCACAAAAATAACGCGTTCCTGTGGGGATATGAAGACAGCGCAGACAAAAGAACATACATAACGGCTCACTGGTCGCCAGCGGCGAACCATATTAAAGTGTCCCTGCTTTGTTTAACTTTAACAGTTGTAGTTGGTAAAAGAAGCAGAATGACCTAAAGGCATAACCAGAATGTTCTATTTCAACTGAGTTATGAGGATGTTTTTCAAATTATCAAGCCAAAGCTAACTGAGTTAATATAGATATGTCTTCTCATTACTGAATAGCCGTCTAGTTTGTATGTAAACTGCACACAAACAGAAACCGCAAAAGAAACCATACGCACTTTAAGGTTATACGGTCCATGGAGGAAGGTGTAGCCTGGCGGTTAAAGCGTTTGCTAGTTCGATTCCAATATTGGTATATGGTGCGAACTCCATTTATTTCACTCACTCACTCACTCTGCTGTTGGTAGGCAGTGAATATGTACGGGGATTTACAATGATGGAATGGATATATATTAGTGTACTGCCATGTATACCCGCAGACAGCGTTGAGAGTGCAATGTGACTGGACGACTGTCATTTCAGACCGTGCTGTGGCACCAGCTCGGTACAATGTATTGACAATACTGGAATCGAGACGTATTGCCCCAAATAGCGGAAGATGTGCAAGGTTTACCTGCACACGGCGTTGAGGGTGTTGTGGATGTCTAGCTGTGTCAGAACACCGTCGAAGGTGACGTAATATCTCAGTAGTCTCATGTGACAGACGTCGTTAATGTACCACAAGAAGCTAATAAGGTTACATCTACCTGCAGTGATAGGGTCATTGGATATATTGTTAGTTTAAAATGGGTAGATGTCAAGCACAGAGCCTCCTATGTAACTTTATTTGGTTCGATTAAATCTTTTCATACCTTGTGCTCTTGACATCATAATTCCCAAAAGCAGGAGAGCTGCAAACTTCATTCTGTACAGCAGTCCACAAAACACCTGCAAACAACATGACAGCATGATAAAATACCTGAAAACAACATGACAGCCTAACAGAACACCTGCAAGCAACATGAAAAAACATAACAAGACACATGCAAATAACACGACATAATTTTAAAAAACTGCAAAAAAGATGACAACACATCGAAACACCCGTAAACAAAATGACAACATACCAAGACACCTGTAAACAACATGACAGCATAAGAAACAACCTACAAACAACACGACAACATAGCAAAATACCCGCAAACACCATGAAACACATAACAAAACACATGCAAATAACACGATATAATTTAAAATACCTGCGCACAACATGACACCACGCCACAAACAACATGACAACATAACAAAACACCGGCAAACGACATAACACCAAAGACCCTTGCAAGCAGCAACCATGACATAACACAGCAGGACACATGCAAACAACATGACAAAATGACAAGACATGGAAATAAATGTGCTTAAACGTAGAAGACAAAAACGGACGGCCAATTGGTTTACCTTAAGTTGGACACAAAGAAAGCAAAAGTATTGTGTTTCTTGAATAGATTTTGACAAATTAAGCCAGTTGCTGGACGTGTTACATTTTCCAGTTACTGATTCGTGGAACTCGAACAGTGGGTGGCTTATTTTTAACATAATTTCATGTTTAAATATGAAAGCTATTACCAACAAAATCCGACACATTCTTATGGAAACATACGCTAAAAGCTCTTATGGGGCAAATAACGCTCATACTGGTTCAACCCTGTACATATAAAACTTTCAATGTTTTGCTGAAGGGCTGTGTATTGCCCCAAATTTCGTATTGCGATATATTGCGATACACTCTTCTGCATTGCGATACGTATTACAATATATAGTGAGATCTGTCCACTTGGTAATATTCTTTTACCTTCAAATTGAATCACAGTATATGTGAGTAACCATTGTGCATTGTATAGCTTCTTTCAAAGTGAAAAAAGGAAAATCCAGAACAATCTTCTGTTTATATTTGGAAACAATAATGCTTTTCTGAATGTGTTAAGCAACAAATCGTCAATATACGTAACTTATGGAACTTACTGGACGCATCGTGCAAGGTGGCGACCTGTGACAAATGTTCTTTATGCAAATGTTTTCTCATTAAACATCGTGTCCGAGCATAAAGATCGAGGTGACGAAAGCTGAGATGTCACTTGACTTGCATAACATGATCGCACGAAAAGATGGAAATAGTAACTTAGATGTACGTTTGACAACTTTTATGAAAACTGTTGATTTTATTCATTAATTTATTCAATTTTAATGATTTCCTCGAAACGTCCATACTTTGCTCATTGACATTTTTGCCAATCATTTGGAAATACTTCCGCCCAATCCCCACCCACCACCACCCATATTACCTGAATATGCATATATATCTTTTTCCTCACCATTGCAATTTAGGGGGTATACGGGCGGAAGTCTATGTGCAGTGTTGAATGGGTTAAAATTGAACAAATAAAACTTTGGAGGTATACCGGTACGTCATAAACGTATCGTGATACGTAATTGTTACAATTTCGTATTGCGGTTTACAGGTATACCGGTAATACCGTGCAGTCCTATTTTGCTGTAAAAGCTATATCAAGGGTTTTATGTCCCCGTGGTGTACGTGTCACATGATGTGGTGATATAATGTGATACACATGCACTGTCAGAAGCAAGCCACGAGCACCGTACGTGTCACATGATGTGGTAATATAATGTGATACACATGCACTGTCAGAAGCAAGCCACGAGCACCGTACGTGTCACATGATGTGGTAATATAATGTAATATACATGCACTGTCAGAAGCAAGCCACGACCACCGTACGTGTCATAGTATGTGATAATTAAATGTAATACACATGCACTGTCAGAAGCAAGCCACGAGCACCGTACGTGTCACATGATGTGGTGATATAATGTGATACACATGCACTGTCAGAAGCAAGCCACGAGCACCGTACGTGTCACATGATGTGGTGATATAATGTGATACACATGCACTGTCAGAAGCAAGCCACGACCACCGTACGTGTCATAGTATGTGGTAATATAATGTAATACACATGCACTGTCAGAAGCAAGCCACGAGCACCGTACGTGTCACATGATGTGGTAATATAATGTGATACACATGCACTGTCAGAAGCAAGCCACGACCACCGTACGTGTCACATGATGTGGTAATATAATGTAATACGCTGCACTGTCAGAAGCAAGCCACGAGCACCGTACGTGTCACATGATGTGGTAATATAATGTAATACGCTGCACTGTCAGAAGCAAGCCACGAGCACCGTACGTGTCACATGATGTGGTAATATACTGTGATACACATGCACTATCAGAACAAAGTCACGAGCGCCGCACGTGTCATAGTATGTGGTAATATAATGTAATACACATGCACTTTCAGGAGCAAGTCACGAGCACCGTACGTGTCATATGATGTGGTAATATAATGTAATACGCATGCACTGTCAGAAGCAAGCCACGAGCACCGTACGTGTCACATGATGTGGTAATATAATGTAATACGCTGCACTGTCAGAAGCAAGCCACGAGCACCGTACGTGTCATATGATGTGGTAATATAACGTAATATACATGCACTGTCAGAAGCAAGCCACGAGCGCCGCACGTGTCATAGTATGTGGTAATATAATGTAATACACATGCACTGTCAGAAGCAAGCCACGAGCACCGTACGTGTCACATGATGTGGTAATATAATGTAATACACATGCACTGTCAGAAGTAAGGCACGAGCACCGTACGTGTCACATGATGTGGTAATATAATGTAATACACATGCACTGTCAGAAGCAAGCCACGAGCACCGTACGTGTCACATGACGTGGTAATATAATGGAATACACATGCACTGTCAGAACAAAGTCACGAGCGCCGCAAGTGTCATAGTATGTGGTAATATAATGTAATACACATGCACTTTCAGAAGCAAGCCACGAGCACCGTACGTGTCACATGATGTGGTAATATAATGTAATACGCATGCACTGTCAGAAGCAAGCCACGAGCACCGTACGTGTCACATGATGTGGTAATATAATGTAATACGCATGCACTGTCAGAAGCAAGCCACGAGCACCGTACGTGTCATATGATGTGGTAATATAATGTAATACACATGCACTGTCAGAACAAAGTCACGAGCACCGTACGTGTCACATGATGTGGTAATATAATGTAATACGCATGCACTGTCAGAAGCAAGCCACGAGCACCGTACGTGTCACATGATGTGGTCATATAATTTAATACACATGCACTGTCAGAAGCAAGCCACGAGCACCGTACGTGTCATATGATGTGGTCATATAATTTGATACACATGCACTGTCAGAAGCAAGCCACGAGCACCGTACGTGTCACATGATGTGGTAATATAACGTAATATACATGCACTGTCAGAAGCAAGCCACGAGCACCACACTGCAACATGATGTGGTAATATAACGTAATATACATGCTCTAACAGAAGCAAGCCATGTGGAATGTTACTTCCAGTACCTATGCAAGCAGAAGAACAAACACAAACCAAATACACGACTAATAACATACCTGCGTATTGAAAGTATCCTGCGGAACGACGTTACTTCACTGTGGCTGTCAATCACCTAATGCAGTAACCTTTAGACTGAATGTAAATTTGTCTCGTGCATGTACTTACAAACCTAAGTAGGTTTAGGACAAGCGTAAATGACAGAAATAACAGAATGATATAGCAGTGAGGGGGTTCATTCTTGGATGCAGTCACTCTGGTAAGATTTGTTATCATCATCGTGGTAATACTGACTGACTGAGTTTTGGTTTTACGCCGCTTTTAGCAATATTCCAGCAATATCACGGCAGGGGAACACCAGAAATGGGCTTCACTCATTGTACCCATGTGGGGATTCGAACCCGGGTCTTCGGCGTGACGAGCCAACGCTTTAACCACTAGACTACCACACCGCCCCTCGTGGTAATACATATATACTATATGAAAGTGAGGACACATTTTGAAACTACGATAACTTATACCAATGTCTGTCAATTAACGTAGTGTGAGCGAGTAAGTTGGTTTTACGCGGCTTTTAGCAATATTCCCGCAACATCACGGCAGGGGACACCAGAAATGGGCTTCACACACTGTGCCCAAGTGGGGAATCGAACCCGGGTCTTCAGCATGACGAGCGAACGCTTTAACCACTAGGCTACTCCATCGCCCTCAATTAACGTAAGTTATTTATGTGGCAAGAACATGTACAAAGAAGTAAAGCTCTCAATCACAATGTTGTGACGGTCGTGAAGCACGTGGCCTTGACAACACGCCCTGGGTGGTCTGTCAGATTTACCATTGCCAGATTGTGAACAAACGCATTTGTTTTCTTGGAACCAAAAACACTTTATCAAACATATTTTATTTAATCATTAAGACGGTATTGATCCACATTTGCAATTAATTGGACATTGACGTGCCATAGGCATGTTGCAGATGGACACAAAAGTCAGAACAAGAAATACATAACATGGAAGATTGACGCCGCTCTGGACAACAGCCTGTTACGACGTAAATTGTAATAAAAACGCAAATTGTAATACTTGCAGCAAATTGTAATAAACTTGACGTAAATTGTAATAAAAACGTAAATTGTAATAAAAATTGACGTAAATTGTAAAACGCAAATTGCAATAAACATTGACGTAAATTGTAATAATTTTCGTTGCGGTAAAATGTAAAAAATATTTACGTAAATTGTAATAACAGTTTTAATCACTCGTAAATACGCGTGTTACGACGTAAATTGTAGTAAAAACGTAAATTGTAATACTTGCAGCAAATTGTAATAACCCTTGACGTAATTGTAATAAAAACGTCAATTGTAATAAAAATTGACGTAAATTGTAATACGCAAATTGTAATAAAAATTTACGTAAATTGTAATAATTTTCGTTGCGGTAAAATGAAATAAATATTTACGTAAATTGTAATGACAGTTTCAATCGTTCGTAAATACGCGTGTGTTCGTTTTTGATTGCACTTCATGATCAAACATCATATAAGCTTGTGAGGGCGATAACTCAAGAAAGAAATGATGGATTTTGTTCAAATTTGGTACCAAGGTGTTGTGGCGAGATTCACAGACATCAGTTGAATTTAGTGACCTTGAGATAATTTGCAAGGTCACAGCAAAAATATAAAGATTGTTAGCGCGATAACTCAAGAAAGAATTGATAGATTTTGATCCAATTTTATATCAAGGTGTCTTGGCGGGATTCCCCCTACACCAGTTGATTGGGGAACTTGTGCTCATTTTGAGTTTACAGCGAAAATTGTATTGTTTTGCACATTTCTAACTTTTTAGTGCGAAAACACAAGAAAGAAGTAATATACTCTGCTTAAAAGTATGTTAGGAAAATGTGCTGGGAGTATAGTCTAACGCCAGTCGAATTCAGTGATCTTCGGATAATGTTCAAGGTCACAGCGAGTATGCTTGCGATATCCCCCAAACTAATGGATGGAATCTGTTCGCTTTTTGTATCAAGGCTTCCGATTACAGTTTCGGTAACGTTTAGATAATTTGCAGGGTCACGCAGAAGATTATTGCGATATTCAGATATTGACATGTGGCGGAAGTAATAGCTGTGTTTGTGACAATGACCTTAATCGATTAATATCGATTCGTTTGTTAAGCAGTCAAAATCAAAGTATTTATGAAACATCAAATCGATCAGATCTTATTATGTAATCATGAATAGATTTTGATAATTTGTGTAGATCATTGCTAGTGAGGGATGTACATCCCCATAGTACAGTGTTGATACTAAACCCCTTTAAATAGAAATATGATTTTTGTCTCTATTCCGTGTATTTATTGCATGTGAAGAAATAATGCACAGCATTTTCGACTGGATGACCACATGAGCACGAGGGGCTGTCGATGATGTGTCTATCAAACCAAACAGCATTCAAATCACTACAACGGAGCCTGAGACGAGAATGGATAATTTGGCATCTTCTTGGTCCATAGTTTAGGTCAAAGATAATAGTTTTGTTATTTGGTCTTAATATCGAGTTTTTGAATCGTGATAAAGTATCAATATTTTGAATTTCAGAACTTAGGGAATTCCATAGTTTTATTGTATCAGGTAGAAATGATCTGGCATATGTCATCGTTCTACATTTAACTGATCGCACTGATAAATTAGTTTTCTACTGAAGTGTATTGATTTTGTTTTGTTAGGATTGAATGAAACCTTCCATTCTTTGGCCCAATTTGAAATTCTTAATAAGTCATTATTTAAACAGTCTGCAGCAATGTCAGGATCATCAATTATAACATATAGAGACGTGTCGTCTCTGCAAAAAGTCTAATATTACTAGCAATATCATCTACAATATCATTAATATATATTATGAACATTAGGGGGTCCTAAGACTGATCCTTGAGGGACGCCTGCTAATTATTATTATTATTATTAGGATATTTATATAGCGCACATATCCACGCAACTAGTGCATGCTCAAGGCGCTGGTAATTTTTCCCTCGCGCCAGTTGGCAGTTAGTTATTAGCGAGTTAACACAATGACTCTTAGAGTTATCTCCCTTAAACATAAACTCGCTTTCCCAGTTTTATGTTCGGTTCTTCGGTCTGTCTGTGTGTCGCCTTGGCTTCGACAATAAAGTGTTTGGATTTGATTGCACGTGTCCTGGCTGTTTATCGTGGAGGCGGAACCTTCTCCATTGGCGTGGTGGCAGCGATATGGATTAACTACATGACCTACGCTTCCCGGTAACTACTAAAAACGTAAACGGTCAGTCAGTCAGCATATTGGTTGGATAGCACGTGTGATCGTTGTAACTGTCCAAAATGGCGCATACACATAGAGCCCCGAAGCAATGGTGTCTTACAAAATCTGAGACAGTTAATTCCTTTGAGAACTGGAAACAAAATCTCCATTACACTCTGTCACTAGACCAGAATTTTGCACACTTTTTGGTGGATGGTGTGACCTGGACGAAGAAAACTCGTGATAACCCTCGACGTGGTTTTGTAAACGATGGCGATGATGTTGATATAGCCATTCGTCGTACTTCTGAACAGAAAGTGACAATGCTTGAACTTATGCTTGGCCAGATCGCCAATTATTGCCCTGTTATTGCTAGAAGCACCATTGTCAAGAAGTCAACCTCTCTCATCAACATTTGGCAGGAAATACGTTTACATTACGGATTTCAGTCAACTGGATCACATTTTCTGGACTTTGCCAACATTTCTTTGTTACCAGATGAGCGTCCTGAAGACCTTTACCAGCGTCTGGTTGCCTTCGTTGAAGATAACTTGATGAAGACTGGGGGTAATATCACACACCATGGAGAAGAAATCATTGAGGATGAAGAATTATCCCCATCTCTTGAGAACTTTATTGTGCTCACGTGGCTTAGCCTCATACATAAGGACTTACCCAAATTGGTTAAGCAACGCTATGGCACTGAACTACGTTCTCGTACCCTTGCATCCATAAAGCCTGAAATCTCTCAAGCTATGTCCTCCCTTCAAGATGAAATTATGACTAATCATGACATGAAAGTTATGAGAACTGCAACATCATTCCCTACTCAGGACAAACGGCAACACTCTCGCTCAAACCGTTTCCCTCACAAGAAAATTTACAAGTCTTGTCCTTTGTGCAAGTTGGCTGACAGACCTGATCGCCATTTTCTGAGTGAGTGCAGTTACCTTCCGGCTAGTGATAAACGTTATCTAGCTAAGGCTCGACAGATCGTACTTGCCCTTGAGGACGATTCCCACGATAGTCATGACCAAACCCCTGATGATGACTGCGACGTTAAAGAATATGAGGAACCAGTCGGTGTGATGAGAGTCCAAGTATCTCAGTCCCCCCTGCCTCAATACCTTTTACCAACATCACTTGGCACGCATTACCTTGGACAGTGGTGCCACCGGGAACATGGTGAAGTTATCTGTGGCAAAGAACTTGGATCTTGACGTCAAGATTAGCACCCAGTCAGCCAGGCAAGCAGATGGTGTTTCGCCCCTCAGAGTTGTGGGGGGGAAGTTAGTGCTGTCTTCGTTCGTGGCCAGGAAGAATTCACATTCGAGGGTCTTGTTGTTGAGGATTTGGATGTCGACATTTTAGCAGGCATTCCCTTTATGGAATTGAATGATGTTTATGCCAGACCCGCTAGGCGACAAATCTTTCGAGGTGAACGTGTCATCGTAGATTACAGCCATTCAGGGAAGGAGTCAAAGCTTGATCAACACACCGTTGCGAACAGTCCCACCACTATTTGGCCAGGAGACTACATCGAGCTGGAAGTTCCACCGGAGTTCACTACACATGATGACCATCTCGCCCTGGAACCTAGGGTTGAAAACTCTCCCATCGGGAAACAAAACTGGCCAGAGGTTGACATCGTTCCCAGTGTCTGCGGACGGATACGCATCCCGAACCTGACGGATGGGCCTTTGTCATTGAAACATGCACACTTCTGCCAGGTGAGACATGTCGTAGATGCCCCCCGACAAAGTACAACCCACAGACTCTGTCATCACTAGCCAAAATGTGTCGCTCCAGAAGAAGCAGC